GCTTGTGTTCTTGCACTGCAAGTGCAGCTTGGTCACCAGCAGGGTGTGCTGCAGGAGCTGGTACCTTCTCAGACGTTCAGGAAACTGCCGATCTGGAATCTTGGATTTTGTGATAATGGCTATGAATAACAAACGCCTCACAACTTTGTTTCCCTGTCTGCAGCAGAGTACAGGTTACTGAGCCTCCTGCACACAGGGAAGTAGAAATTGAGCCCAGCAAGGATAGTTTGCTCTGTCTCTGTATTTTAACGTGCTTGGTTGGAAGTTGCTAATTTAAAAGCAAATCCCAGTTCATTTAGGCCAGGCTCTGGAATAAGCTGTGGGAAACCGGGAGCTTTCTTAAAGTGGGGAGACGGAGAGAGGGAGTGAAAAATAGCAGCTCTTAGGGAAAGGATGGAGTGGCTTGCTGTGGGACAGTCATTAACACTGTGGCTGCTGAACCCCATCTGTTTCTACTGAGTACTAGGCTAAGGCCATTACTTAAATACATCAAATCTGTCTGTGACACCTCAGGGCACCTCAGACACTCCACCTGGGTGGAGATGTTCTGCACACCCTGCCCTCAGGTGGTCTCAAGAGATGCCCTCTACCACTGTTACCCAAGACTGTGCCTCCGAGCAAGAGCTTGGTATCAAATAGGGTTCCTGATTTTCTCCCTTTGTTTCGCCTTACCTCCCTTGCAGCAGTGCTCTCAAGAATCCTGAAGCTTTCCCTAGCGGGGTGGATGGAAAACAGGCTTAAAAAGCAGAGGCACTTGATGCCTTTTCCCTCTGTGTGTCAAGATGCATTTAGTTCTGCCTTTGCACTGGAAATAGACCAGCACGAACCTGCAGGAATGGCTGAGGAGGTGGAGGGAGTGCTTGTGTGGGACTCTAGAAGGGATGTTTTGTGTTTGTGTTGTGGTTAGTGAGTACTAATGTCTGTAATTAGCCATTGACATGTGCTCTTGTCCCTCTGCTAGTACTGCTTTGTTAGAACAGAAGCACTAAATAAGCTATGAATATTAAGTGTCAGTAATTGTACAAATCTAAAGGCTGCTGTGCTGGCAGTAATTAGCAGCTCTGATTTCATTATGGCTGGGACTGTGTTGATGCAGTGAGGGAGGGCTGTGCTTGATGGATGGAGTGGGAGATGGCTGTAGGACTAGAACTGTCAGCAGCCAAGCTGAACACTGTTATTTCACACGAGGGGAAAGAGGGGATGATCCTAGTAGCTGCTTTTGTGCAGTGGGAAGTGCTGTTTGTTTGCAAAGCTCCATAGGACAGCCATTACTGATTATAGTAGATCTGTGGTGAGTGATTAGGTTGCTGCCCCTGGCAGGCTTTCTAAATTCTTCATTAGGCCTTTCCATTGCCTGCAATGACAGTTTCATCCTCTGAAAAACATGGGGGGAGGTAGGGTTTTTTTCTCTAATGACCTGACTCCTTCCAGCAAATACTGAACTGAATTCAAGTGAAGCTAGAATTAAGAAGTTTGTTTCTGTGGAAATCTCTCAGGGTTGGCAGTTGCTGTACTTTGGGAGCTGTAGAGTTTGTTGTAAGGTCAATGAATGCACCAGTATTTCTCTGTGGCTCCCATTGTAAAGGCAGCTGTCCCTGGATAGGATGAAAATGTTTTCCTTTCCCTCCCCTGCCAGACTAATCTTTCTCTCCTCTCTGCCCACAGCATCTGCCATTACAGCCGCCTCTTCTGGGAGTGGGGGGAAGGTGTCAAAGTGCACGACTCTCAGAAGAGACAAGATCCAGAGAAGCTCTCAAAAGAGACTGTCCTGTCTTTCATCCAAGCACACTACCCCTAACCCTTCTCCCTTGAGGGTGCAGGGGGAGCTTGGATTCTTCAGGGACTGATGAGACTGGGAAGGCTCCACAGCTTCTATCCTGTTCTTCTCCAGAGCTGATTTCCTGGAGGTGATTGAAGCAGGGGGTGGTATGCAGAAGGCGCAGGATGAGGCTCTACCTTGGCAGTGTATATAAGAGTACAGCCCAGGTAGCACCTGCTGCCGGAGTACCCCTGGTGATTCCTGGAGCCAAGGCCTAATGCCCTACTGCATGCATGAGGCCAAGGGGCTGGCAGCTTTCTTTGCTCCTGCTCAAACATTCAGCAAGGTCTGTGGAGCTCTGTGTGTGCCAGAACTTTCCAGGCTTGTGCTTCTCTGGCAGTACGGGAAGGAGCAGAGAGGTTTTGATGGCAGAGCTTGGCAACTGCACATTGAAGCAGCCCTGCATTGTTCCTGGCAGCTATGTCTCCTTGGCCTTGTCAAAGGCCTACACTTCCCACTGGAGGGTGTTAACTCTTGGGGAATGCTTGTTGTGGGACACAAGTCATGTATCCTTGTTGGCGTCTCCAACACTTCTGGTTATCAAGGCACTCAGTTGGCCACTGGCAATTCTTATGTGATGGTATCCTGTCGGACAAATGCCAATGCAGATGATGAGTAGAGCTCCTGGCACAGATCTGAACTGCTCAGTGCCAGGGCTTTCTCAGACCTCTAGAAGCTGCTGTGACAAGGATTTCCCCTCTCCACATTAGTGACTGATCCCAAGCCAGCAGCCTAGGGTTTGTGAACAGGTACCACTGTTGGTATATGTGCCTCATGGTACTTCTGAGACCAAGGTGCTTTGGTTCTTGGTACTCAACACTGTTACCCAAATCTTCAGGGAGGAAGGCAGATGTGGGAGGGAAGACACTGGAAGGCTGGGATGCTGGAGTCTTTGGAAGAAATTATGAGGATGTCTGACTTAATTAAAAAGACCCAGGGCTTCAGTGAAAAGAGATCTTGACTTTGACCATGTTGGTTAATTAGAAGAAATCCTGTCCCCTGACTGTACCCCTGGCAAGGTAACCAGACTTTCCTTTTTAAATGTCAAAGAGGCTTTGAAACCCTTTGTATCTCATTTGGCTGTGGAACTGCATCTGGGGTGAAGGCATAGAGCTGTGAAACTTTCAGCATGGTATTCGCATCCAGACTTCTCCAAGCACTTCTGTGCCAGGCTCAAAGTTGGCTTCTGTTGCATGTTTTATCTTCACTTCTGGCTTCCATGGCACTTTGCCAGGTCTTCCACATAAATCAGGAGATAACACATAGTTGAATGCTTTTGACCAAGAAGCAAAATTGCCCCTTTTTTTTTTTTTGTTCAGTGTTTTGTTTCGTTTTGTTTGTTCTTGTTTTTAAACACAGATTGGCAGTAGGGAGAAAACTGATTTAGGTCTGAAGTGTGCCTTAAGGAAAGCTATAGTTCTAGAGTCTATAGCAGTTATTAGATAGAGTTTTTTCTCCGCAAGCATACATATGATTTGAACAAGCTTGTGCGGCAAAACTGAAATTTCCACTCAGATGCAGGTCTGTCAAAGCAGGTGAAGGACTGCAGGCTGTTAGTGCATCCTCTTGCTGACCTGTAGACCCCCTCTGCTCTCAAACGTGTATGAAACAAGTGGTGGTCCTTCCTCCAAAAGAACAGAAGTGTGTCACTAGTACCTTTTGTCCTGACACAAGCAATTCCACGAGGAACGAGGAGAATCTCTCCCACTGGGCAGTAAAGTACCTCCAACTGTGTGGTGTCCTGGCCTGTGTATAGCTGGCTTTTTAAACCAACCAGTAATTGAGTTCTGGCACTTGTGTGGACTGCCTTGAGGCTGTTCCAGTGCCAGCAGAGCATGCTGCTCCCTCTGCCAGCTCCTTCCCTGAGTGTTGTACCCTCCACTCAAGGCTTTGACTTCTGTGGGCTGGCAGAGGGGTGACTAAGAAGGACACTAGGGGGGGTGAGTGTAGGTCTCTGAGGGTACAAGAATGCCTCGTCAGCCTGCAGGCTAGCTTTAATGAATGGATACTTTATGTTTACTCAGTTGTCTCTAGCTCCTCATTTAAATTTGCTTTTTATTTTTGATTTTATTTTTGATGCACTGAACCTTGATTCCAAATCTCCCTTCGAGACAAGCTTGAGCCACCATGCCACTTGCTTCCCTGCTGATGGATTATGTTGAGAAGGGCTGGGTAAGGTCTTGCTGAAGGGAATGTTATGTATGTTAATTGCACAATGTATTATTAGGCTTTGTATTATTTTGTGTTGACTTCTCTGCTTTCATTGTCTCTATTGCCAATACAGCCCCTTTAGTTCACAGCAGTGCTTGTTTACTTCGCTTCCCCACAAAATTCTGGCCAGCAGTGTGTGCTAGTGTGGCGACAGAGATATGCCTTGCAGAGTTACATTTTCAAGGCAGTCCTTTCTAAAGGCCTTCCTGCCAGGTTAGAGCATGCTGAGGGCTACTTACTCTATGTCCTGCATGGAAATGAGGGGACTGACTACAGGGGACAGTCTCCAGTGCTCCTCTGCAGCATGCTAGGCTGCTTTTCCTCTCAAAGGAAGCAGATCCCAGGCTGCAACAGACCAGTAACCACAGCTGAGACCTCACTGTCCAGGGATATTAAGTGCCTAACCCAGCCTAGGCTTATTGTGGTGCAGTGTGTGCCAGCAGGAAGATGGTAGGATGGGAATAAAGCACTGCTGGCAAAACAGGACAAAACAAGGAGAGAAATTTAAAACAAACAAACAAGCAAAAAACCCAGGAAATTACAAGGTCAGATTATTTTATTTAAAACCCTACACAAGCACTTCCATTTCTGGCAGGTGCTAGTAAATTCTCTTCTGCAAGCGCTGATTCTCAAAGGCACAAAATGGCTACCAAGCTCTGATGCACTGGAGAAGCAGGCAGATCTTCTTAAAGCCCCCAGCATCCAGATCTCAAGCTGTATGCTACCTTGCAGAAAAAGAGATACCTATGTACCTATGCTTCTGTGGAGGTAGGATTCCTTTGGTCCTTAAAGTCAGGGTGGAGGAGGAAACATCTTTAGTGCAGCTCTGCAAACACATAAAATCTTAAGGTCACAATTCCTCAAGATTACCCTTTGATTGAGCTTAGTGTCCCTTCATCTTAAGGCGGAGTCACAGGAGCCAAGAAAGTGGCATGTGTTCCACCAGGGCTGGGCAGAGAGCACTTGTCTACAACCACAGATGTCCTCTTCAAAAGGGAGAACTGCTTTCTTGCATCATGCTGGGTGGTCTTGACTGTGTTTTGGGTAAGATGGCACCACCTTGAGTTCTGTTTGACCTGATTTTCAAGTGCAAGTGTGCTGTGATTTCTGGTTTGTCTCCTGTCCCCCTCAATTTGCAGAGAAAAATCTTCCCTACAATGAGGCTTGGAGACAGTAAACAAGAACAGCATTTTGAAATGCTGATCCTCACTCTTGGAGGCACAGTGGTGAGAGGAGGAAGAGCCCCTTGCAGGAGAGTCGTTTGGTCAGCAGGGAGAATTCTTGACTGCAATCACATCGTCCAGCAGGCGTAAATAAGAGCCATCAGCAACGCCATGGCCACAGCAAGGGCAGCATTCTTGCGATTTTCCTTGCGAAGAGCACTCAGTTCTTTCTCTGGGAAACAAACGAAAGCCTTGCCTGTGAAGGTTCATCATATTGCAGCTACATCTACTTCCAAAACTCTCTTAAAAGCACAAAGCTACCTTGGCCACGGGCAACATTTTGGGAGCGGTATGCAAGGCTGCCAATTATAGGATGTGCCAAACAGGAAGTAAACTAGTGGGAACCTTTTCATTTGCTAACTCTCATCCTGACACTTGTGCTTGGGAATACTTCAGTGCCAGACCAGTTCCTGTTTGCAAATGACATTGCTGTAGGCCTCTACTACAGACAGAGTTTGTCATTAGAATAACTGCTTGTTCCCTAAGAGAATGAAGGAGACAGAGGGCTGTGAGCTATTTCTAATATCTTCTAGGGGTAACAGCCTGGTAGCTCTTTCTAGTGTTAAAATTTATTTAAATACAACTGTGGCCGCCTTTGAATGTTGCAGAATATGGGTTTCCTTGTGCTTCAGAAGGATGAGCGTGGAACAGGTCTGAGCCTAGACACTCATTCTGTTGGGGTCTGAAGCTTTTTAGAGACAGGTTGGTATTGCTTGCCCTGGTTTACAGAACCACCACAAATATAGAGAGATAAAGGAAGCGGCTACTGCAGGTGTGGAGTCTTGCTGATCTCCATTTCATTTCTGTCTCCTTTACAAAAGATGAGAACTCCAGTCCGGCTAGTTTGGTTCCACAAAACTTTGCTGGGTGGTACAGGCAAGCAGTGAGGCCTCCAGCACTAAATAGGATCAAACAGGGTAAAACAGCAGTAATGGTTTGCAGGGCAGAGTTGGGTGGGGCCTGTCTCCAGAGTCAGACTGCTTTTGCTGCCGAGTTCATCTGCAGTATAACTACATAAGTGACTGCCTCTACAGTTTGCACAAGCAGCCTCCAGCAGTTCCTAAACTGGTGTTGGTACCAAAAGAGACTCTTAGCTGTTCTGTCTGCCCCCATTGTTCATGTAATGCAAGCATTCTCATGCAACCACAGAGCAACCTGCTTAAATCTGCAGGGCCACCGAGGAAGTGGCACAGCCAGGAGGTCACATAACCTCACGCACAGCAGTGCCAGCTTGAAGTGATGGAGCAATGCCATCGTCAGCCGCTGCAGTTCATGACCTCGTGTCAGCTGGAATAAGTAAAGAATTAGAGGCCACAGCAGTGATCTAAAAAGACTCCGTACACATGCACTGTGTGTTCTGTTCCAGAAGGAGCAGCCATCACCATTAGGTGAGGCTGTTGCTGCTGTCTGAGCTGCTGTCAGACTACTTTGCTGATGCTGCCAGTGCTGGCTGGCTGCTGGCTGGTGAAAGAGTGGCAGTGATGTGTAGAATCTTCTGCTGTCTCTAGTGGTAGCCCCTTAGGAAACAGCTTTCAATCTATTTAAACTAAGGGCTACTCTTCTGGAAACAGTCCTTTAACAGGAGTTATAATTACAAAGTTGCTGGCTTTCCATTCTTCAGGCCTAGAAGTACTGTCAAGCAGGTAACACGATGATCAACAGCAGGAGCCTGAAGATGTGCAAAGCAGCATCCCTGGTGGAATGGACAGGCTGTGAAGTTGTGGTAGCTTGGAGTGACTCTCATTTTAACCGTCTACATCAGGACTTGCAGCAAGGAAAGACCCTGACTCTCTAGAACTTCAGGGAGCACATCGGTGTGAATCCCTATGGTCCTGTGCTGAGTGGCCTCAGAAACTGATGCAGTACAAACTTTCTCCAAGGAAGGCAGATTTTGCTGCACTTCAGCTAACACTTGCCAGTTTGCTTAGCAAGCTTCTATTAAAAAAAATAAAAAGGAAAAAAAAATAAAAAAGGGGGGGGAAGAAATGTTAAAAGCTACTCAAGCTGATCTATTGGCTATGATTATCTAAAGACAAGTAATTTGGGGTATGTGAATGGGACATTTTCCCTCCTTCATTAGCTGATGCTTATTTTTTTTCCCCTATGGTAGCACAGCTCAAGCAGGAGGATACAGACTCCTATTATAATATGCTGACTACATTTCCCTCAGTCTAGCTCCCTTTGGCTGAACCTAAATTCAAAGGCAGAAGTCAGAGGTGGCAGGAGCTAGAAGACAAAGCTAAGCTGCAGCAGTGATCCCATCCAGCCCAGAGGGACCATTTTTAATGAAGCTCTTACCATAGTTGTCAGCTTTGGTCATTAGTAAGTTTCTCTCTCTCTCCAGTGACTTTCTGTAATGAGAAGAGGAGTTCATTACCTGCGAGGCACAACACAGCCTATTTCTTTGCTTACATGATGGAAGAGAGACTGTCCCACTGCTGGGGATATCTGCTCACAGAATGAGCCCCTCACCCTTCACTGTGGAATGATGACAGTCTAGAAACACCCAGTTGTGCAAGAGAAGCAATGCAGCGTTTTAGATTATTTTTCTCCTTCCCTCAAACTGCTTCCCGTCTCTTCTTTCAGGATGGTGTCAGTGTTCCTGAAGCAGCTACAAAGGGGTCTGTGTGTCAGAGAGCCCCTGCTCTAGTTCTCCCAGGTGGGGTAGGAAGTTCTGACATAGCTGTGGGAAGGGGCAGGTCCCTAAGTGCTCTCTGCAGAATCCTACCTCTCCAGCACACTGGCTTAGTGCTGCACCAGTAATTCCTCTCACTGAGAGAAGCCAGGATCCCTGTGTCAGAGGTATCCCATTTACACAGACTGGTGAACTCCAGGAAACAAGCCGACTCCAAGCCCAGTAGCAACCAGTTAAACAACCTGTTATTATGCTGAAAACTCATGATAATAACAGGCCAACCCTGCTCTTGTCTTAAACTGCAGAAGATGATTAATTAATACGCAGTTTAAAATATAGATGCAAAATAAAATTCCTGAAAGCAGCAGCACTTCCATTATGGCAGTGGGGACACGGTCACTCCTTTCAGACTATGAACATCAATAAACATGCACTAACAAATTAGCTCCTGGTTCAGAGAAGGCAGTAAGTGTAACAGAGTTTGTTGCTCCCCTTGGGGCAGACCAAGAACTTGCAGGAGGAAAGAAATCCAAATCTATTTGTACAGCTGGTTAAGTAAGGGATGGCAAGAAAGCAAGCTACAGCAGAGCAGCAGGAGAGGAAAGGGCTTTTAAATACAACTGGGGAAAGGCAATGTGGAGAGCAGCCAGGAGGAAGTGAGAAGACATTTACCAACATGACTGAGCTGCTATTTAGAAACTTGCCTTGTGAAGAGAGTCAAGGGAAGAAGCTTTGAGAATGAGACATGAAGAAACCATGACAACTGAACTTCAAAGTGGGAAAGCAGAGCTCTCCTTTGTGTACTATGCACTGAATCAATAATTTTCCTCATGGTACCTTCCTCAAGGGTTTTTCAAATAGTCTGGAATAGGGCAACTGAAGTTCTGTTTCTATCTCCATACCAGCTGTAAAGTTCAGAAAAGGCCCCAGGAATCCCTATTTCTAATTCTTTGCTCTAGGCCCTGTATTTCAGAAAGAAACCATCATCTCTATTCCATCCTGTCAAGTTATCACAGCTGTAGGCTTGTTGTTGGCCATCTAAGTACCAGATAAAGAACACACACAGTAAACAAGAATTTAGACGTAGCAAAGGACTGAAATGAAGAGCTAAAGAGATGAGGGACAGGACACTATCTAAATACGGATGGGGATCCAAAATCCCAGTAAAGGAGTGAGGCAGAGTGCAAATTAGAGTTTGAGGCTGGTAAATATCAGAGTATGGAGACATCACCACTGCTAGGATCATTTCTAACGGGTTCTGTAGTACAGCGCTGTAGAGCAAGCACCAGGATCAACAGAACCACGCCCTGGGCCTATAACTGAGCTTCCTGGCCTTTTTTGCTAGGAGCAGAACAGTAGGATGCTGGTCACAGAATATTCTGAATTAGAAGGAACCCACAAGGATCATCAAGTCCAACTCTTAAGGGAATGGTCTCTATGGGGATCAAACCCCATGACCTTGGCGTTAAGAGCACCAAGCTCTGACCAACTGAGCTCCTCTCAGGTGACTGAAAGAATGTCCTCAAGCTGAGAGATTTGAGAATCAGCTGGAAGACTTAGGATCTCTTGCTTCAAACTCAGGAGAAAGCAGATTCTGCCTCTGTCTGCTGCAAAATCCAGGCCAAAGTCCTTGCTTGAATTCCAGCTCTAGAAGCCAACAGTTGCCACCTCTACAGCAGTGACAGATTTCAGGAGGATTGTTCCTCTTAGCTTTCCCAAGAAAAGCCAGTGTGTCAATGCATCCCTACATCCAGACACACGTGCAACACAGGCACAGATGATTTCCCTCAGCCTCTTCTGCAACTGCATCCCAGCCTGGTTTGGCCCTCGTTAGAAGCTGCTGCCCATCTCCCCCGACTGAACTCAAGCAGCATTGGCAAGGCTTAAGCAACAGCATGCCACAAACCTTTGCCAGACTCACAGAGCTGTCTCCTAGCAAGCCAGGAGCCAGATCTGCAAACAAACTGGCAAGTTTTGGGCACTGCTTGTCTGGTTGTGGTGGAGGTTGGAGTCAGGCCGTTAACAAGATAAAGCTCTCTCCATTTATCACTGAACTGCTCACACAGCAAGTTCCCCAAGTGAGCTCCAAGCTGGGGGAAGAGAGTCCTGTCACAGGGAACCACAGACTCCCATCCTTTCAAGAGCCCTTGCTCCGTACTACAAGGCAGCTGAAGTGCACAGCCACAGCCATGAAAAGAGGTGGTCATCAATACCTTCCTTCAGGGCTGAGCTTCTCCCTGCGCAGCTTAAGTTCCACCTCTTCCATGCTCTGTCTGCAGCGTGCCAGCTTCTCCTCCAGTCCATCGATCTGAAAAACACCACAGCAGTCACCATCATTTGCTGCCTCAGCTAACACCGACCCATTCCCACTCAGAAGAGAAGGGTGGCTGCTCAGCCACTCCACCTTCTTCCTGCCCTAATCCAGGGAGGAACCTCAGCTCTGTGTAGATATCACAGCACAGGAAGTCCTTTGCCTCCCAGATCACCCTGTATTATACCCCAGGCAACTGTGACATCGTAAAGCCAGACACAGCCAAGCCAGCCCTGATGCTGCCAATTCTGTGGCTGGCTAGCACCTTTTTGCCAGGATCTGATTCTGTTCCAGCCTGTCCTAGTTTCTTTGCATGTGGGTCCACAAGCAGACTTCCACAAGATGTGATCTAAGGCATCTTTAGGCAATTAAGAAAAAAAAGAGAGACTGGCCTAGGCCAAAGCCTGAGGGACAAGGTCTCGATATGGCACTGTGAATGGATGCAGAAGTTCATGGGATGTGACTATGAAGCACCCTCAGCTGTCTGGTTGGGTGAAGAGTGGGAAAAAGGGGAAAGAAACACTAATACTTACCTTCTTTTACCCAACTAAATCTACAACAGCAACAGTGCTCTGCAGAGTACGCTCAAGAGAGCACTCAACCCTACCTCCACAACTTCCACTTGCACCAAATTTTGGCAGCAACATGTTCCCATGCAGAAAAACACTGGTCATCTTCTTGTGTCTCCTCATCAAGTATCCGAACAGCCGCCCTCCTCCTGTGTCTTCCTGTGGAGGGGAGTTACTGTGGCTAAGCATAGGAGGGGTTGATCTACTTGTGTGCAAAGGGATTGCCCAGGAGAGAATCCCACTGTGGGCAACAGTTCTGGGAATCATTCCTCTCTCCTGCCTGGCAACCAGAACATAGACATCTTTAGGAAAACTTTCTTTCAAGCTTGCTGCCAGCAGGGAAACAATGGGACTAATCAGATAATATGAACACAACAACCTAGCCTGAAAGCAAACAGCCTTGGTGCCCTGAGGTGGCAATGACCTCTCTTTTTAGCTACTTAGCACAACACTCCTGCTGTGCCTGGTTCTCCAGGGAAGGCCAGGGCTGGCTAGATGGCAGGCAGCGCAGCCTCTCTATGGTGGGAGCTTTCACACACCAGATGCTGAGAGGCAGCACAGTCCTGGGCAAAGTACTGAGGTGGAATAAGCTGCCTGGACATCAGCCTCTGAGGTGGCCCAGAGCACAAACACTCCCATAAAGAGTGATAAGGGAAACAAAATCAAAGGTAGTGATCCCTAATTATTGCTGCTTTGGGAATCAGCTCTGTCCTGAGCTCATTAGCAATTCACACCTTCTGCTCAGGAAAGGCAGGCAAGCATCATAAATAAGCAGGACGGGAGAAGAGGCTTTACGCAAAAGAGGAGAACAAAACAGACCATAAAAAGAAGTTTAGCCAGTCAGCTGAATAGTCTCACTGCAAGGATTACAGCAGAGCTGGGAAGGGGGACACATATAACAAGGCTCAAGAAAGTATTTTATTTACCAGATAGCAATTTCAAAGTCCCACGTTATTAGGCAAATCTGCTAGGGCTGTTGAGATGTCAAGCTCCCCAGAGGCACCTGCACAGCTTTCCCTGAGCCCAAGGGGAGCACCAAAGCACATCACCTGATCCAGAGCACATGGAAGGGCACTTCTGTGTTTGGCAATGCTTGGGTTTGCCTGGATGGGGACATGGATATTTTTGAATCACGTTAGCTGAAAATGCATTCGGTGAGGGCAAAGATAATTGTTCTCCTCCATTTCCAGCTGTACCAGCTAGGAATGTTAATTCCAGCTGCTCATCACTAGGTCATCCACTACAGGTCAATCAGCATGATGTTTCAGGGCCAAGTGAGGGCTTTGCCCAGGTCAACTCTGACCACAGTTATCAGCAAGTTAATTTAAAGGCAGAGTGCAGCAGAGTGGAGGTGGGGTGTCTGTCTGGTCCAGCTTAAGAACTACCATCACCTTCACCAGTTCCTACCATTTAAAAATTACTGTCTCAGCTCCCTTAGGTGTCGGAAACCCTCGTATATACACACAGCTAGGGATGCTCCAGCATGTTATTTGGCTTCTCCTTAGCCAGTAAACTTATTACAATGCACCATGCCTTCTTGGGAAATACATTTAAAAATAATGTTAAATAATACAATTTAATGAGAGCTTTAGTCAGCTGCCAACCCCACCACTAAATTAGTCCATGCCACTCCACTCCTATCCTCTCCTCCAGAGCTGCTCCTCCTGGTGAGTCTGCAGTTGCTCTCACTAGGACATTCTCTGCCCATACTTCCCTCATTTCATGAGACTCAACAAGAGGATATTCCACCCAATTCTGGCAATGCTTTTACTTTCTGCTGACTAAAAATCTCCAGATTCCACACAATACTTTAAAAGTTTCAACTGGTGTTGCTGCTCTTAAATCAAACCCAAAGTTTGGGTCCCCTGCTAGAGAGCAATAATTTGCTAATAAACCACATGCCCTAGAACTGCACCATCAGCTTTGCTGAGCTGAGGGCACAAGGGACAGGAAATAATCAGAAAAAAAAAAAAAGAAGTAAGGAAGGAGGAACAGACTGCTGAATGAACAAAATACTTTTCCTTCAGAATCTCTCTGTTTCTTTTCTTCCAGCTAGTCTAGGGAATGAGGGGTTGTAAGGAAGGACAAGAGTTAGCATTCACAGATGTTACCCATCACCATGCCTCAGTTTCCCCACTTACAAATTGGGACAATACCATTTGCCTCCTGAAGTTAGCTCATTTGCACAAGAAGCCACTACCTCACTTGGGATTTGGGATCAGTTCCTGCAAGCCAGGAGTCTCTCCAGGAGGCTCTCCAGGAGCTCAGCCATCCAAATAATTCTTCACTGCAGGACAAAGGAAAGACAGAAATAGAAAACAAGCACAGGGAAAAATCAGACTAATGCCTGGGATTTACTGATTACTCTCTGGGCTGCTCAGGAAACTCACAGTGGGGGCGTAGTCTGTAAAATTGCAGCACAAGAAAATCTGTAGGGCTTTGGCATAATTCCCTATGCAGCTCTCCAGGAGAGCAATCCTAGAAATAGGGGCTCACCTCAGCTAGCTGTGGATGGAAAGCTTTCCCTCCTAACTAATACAGGAGAAGGCTAGCTGGGGTATGTACCCAGGCATACTAGAAGCCCACAGGAAAACAAAGAGCCAAGCTCGCTTAGCTGGCCCACCCCTGCACTCCACACTGCCTTATCGTTTTAGTGGCAAGCTCAGCACAGTGACTCTTAAGCTGCAAAGACGAAGCCTTTCTCCTTGAAGCTCTCCCTTCCATGAAGGGAATCCTGTGGGACAGAGTTGAAATGCAGCGCTCAGAAGGCTCACACGACAACTCATCATGGCTCACAGGCGGTAGCAGGGACACAGGACTTCACTCACAGCAACATCTTTAAGTAGTGCCAGTTAAAAGGGGTGAGTGAAATGGGTGCTTCACATCCAGGCAGCAGCACGGGGCACGCGGAGCTGCCCTTCTGGAGCTCATCATGAGACACTCCACAAAGTCAGGTCCCAGCAGCTTTGGATGCACACAGAGATCTAAGACCAGATGCCTCCTTTGCTCCACAGGTATGACAAGGCATTGGGCTATTTTTGTTGAATTCTGGCAATACTCGCTCACAATCTGGAAACCTTTTTAAGCCAGAGAGACCTGGAATGGATTTCAATCCAAACTGATTTATGTGCTGATTACAAATATCATTTGTGGGGACCATCTTGGGCAGGGAGCCCAAAATAGCTCACATAAAGGCAGAGACAAAGAGAGAAGAGAAAAAGAAGCAGCTTTGCTTACAGAGTTGAGCGGGATCCCATTTAATACATTTTGTAATGAATTAATAAAATCTTTCTTTCCAGCAGAAAGGCTAAAAGCGCTTTTCAAGAACTGGCATCCACCCTCTGCTTTTATGAATTCCCTAATTAAAATACTGGCAAAAAGCCATATCACACATACGTTGACATCCAACAGCATTAGGTAATGAGGTTTTCATCTTGTGACCCTCATAAAACAGATCAAAGCCAACTGAAGAGGTAGGGGCAAATGAAGAAACCCTTCCCTGAGCAGTCTTTACATGCCTTATCACCTGCCAGCATACTCGAGTCCTTCTTTTCACAGAAGAATTAATGGTTCCTTCACCCACAAATTTGGCTGGATTATTAATATCAGTCCAGCAGAAACAAGTTTTGTTTAAATTCAACTTGCAGTTCATGTACACATTTCCATTTTCTCCACACTACTGGAATCATTTTGTGTGCTGGCAAATAATTTCACAGATGCTCTGCCCACAGTGTGCTGGGAAATACTTACGAGATAAGCTACTACACAGCAGAGGATGATCCTCCAGCAGGATAAATTTTGCAGAACAATCCTCTGCATTGCTAAAGAAGAAAAGGCTGAATCCTACCTGCACCTCTTCCTTCAGCCTTGCAGAGACTATCCCATAAGCACATCCTGCCTCAGCTCAGACCAGTGCTTTTAGAAAAATCCTGTAAGAACAGCTTTACTGAGTAAAAACTATGTTGGCTTTTCCCTATTCTTTATGCTCTTGCACAGACAGTCACCAGGAACTGCCCTGTCAGAAGCAGCAATACACAAAGTGACAATACTTTCTCCAAACACACACCTGACATTTTGCAGCTTAGGCACTGCCCGAGTGCAGGGTGTTCTCTTTGCATTTAACGCACTTTTCGCTTCCGTGATTTTTTTTCCAGTTGTTGTCTGATCCACAAGTATATTTTTAAGGGTTACAACATCCTCTGGCAGGGAGTTTCACAGCACAGCCCCAGGTTATGGGAAGAACCAACCCCTTTTGTTTGTTCTGAGCTCGCCAGCTGCTAGTTTCATTTGATAGCCCTAATTTTTTATTGACAGTGAAGGTTCATTGTTTAAAGCTACAAATAGCATGCAGAGGATATAGACCTATATTGGGTTCCCTTGCAGTCATGTTTTCAAGCTTAAAAGGACCTGGAACGCCTGGCAGAATCTTGCATAAAAGTTTTCCACACCTTTGATCATCCTTGTCACTCTCTTAAGTTCTTTCCATTTTCATTATTTTGCTACAAAATGGACCAGTCTCCTCAGTTTCATTTTCCTGACGAGTTTCCTCAAGAGAGTTCTGTGCAGCTCAGCACTGTCAGTAGGGCTGCCTGTTGAAAAGACTAGAGAGCTATAGGAAAGAGGTTAGACGCGTTTAAACCACCACAACATTATGGAGATGCATTTATATCGGTTTAAACCAGATCATATCAATTACACCTGCAATTCGTAAGTGCAAGCTAATCTGATAAGTGTCCATATAGAAAATTACATTCATTTAGCATCATGACTTCAGTTAAACAAGCATGACTCTGCCTAGATGAGGCCTTTCAGAACTAGCCATGCATCACGTCATATTAAGACTCATTTGGAAAGTTTTCTTTACAATCATAACAGCTCAGAAGGTAATACTGAACAGAATAAAAGTTTAAATTATGAAATCAATGTCTTGGTTGTCATGCATTCTGACACCTGGAACACAGCCCTCTTCCTCTGGCTTAAAGGGATTTTGTTTTCTTCCTCCCTAACTGCTATTCAGTACCTTTCTCATCACTGCAAGTGGAAAGAAGTTTATCTTTTAGCAGTATCTTTGCACTGCGAGGTTTTCACCTGTAACACACCAAAAAAAGAGTAGTTCTAAAATCCTTTCAAAACTACTGTGTTCCATCATAACAACTTCTAAACCTCCCCCACCCTGAAAACCTAAAGTAACTACAAGTCCATAAACACTTAGCAAGAATTTTCTGCAGCAGCTAAAATCTGTGGCCAAGAGGTCCCTGAAAGGCTCAGCCTTTTAGCACTTTTTTGTAAGGTAGGCTCTACCGTCTCAACTCCCCTTGTCTACCATATCTCAAACAACCACCACTGAAAAAGCATTTCAGCTCCTTGCTAGGCTCATCGAAGGGAAGCCTGGACAGTCAGCACACTCTCCTCTGGACTCGCTTTGGTGGTTATATTTGGGTTAGAGTGCCTAGAAACGTCTGTGTCTCTAATGAAAGCCTAACCAATGAAACAGACAAGAAAACTACTATGAACTGAACTCCCAATTATATGACATAGTAGGACGAGAGGGAATCTCATCAACATTCTCAAAGGTAGGTGCCAAGAGGATGGTGCCAGACTCCTTTCAGTGGTGCCCAGCAACAGGAGGAGGAGCAATGGCCACAAACTGAAGCCCAGGAAATTCCCCCTCAACATCAGGAAGAACTTCTTTACACTGAGGGTGGCAGAACACTAGAACAGGCTGCCCAGGAAGTCATGGGTTCTCACTCCCTATAGGCATTCAAAACTCACTGGGATACGTTCCTTTGTAACCTGCTACAAGTGACCCTGCCTTGGCAGGGGGTTGGACCGGATGATTTCCAGAAGGTCCCTTCCAGCCCTAACAATTCTGTAACACCTTTATGTTAATGGCTGATGACACATACATTATAAGCCCCAAGTCCTTTACCTGGCCTTTCTACTCTGTTTTCTTTTTGTCTGCTATGCATAATCCCACCCGAAAGGCTTCAGGAAAGATGACCAGTGAGGTTCACTGGATTGATTCTGTCCCATCTCAGCCATTTGTGATGAGTGTACAGGCCTCTGCTGTCCTCAAAGTATCCACAATCCTCAGATTTGAACTACAGGCTCTCCAGTGCCTCCTCGGAGTCAGCCAGGACAGCACTCTTTAGCACAGGAGCCAAAACGACATACGATTCAGAGAGACCCTAACTAATGTGACTCAGACTGTTAACACTAATGTAAAGCTTCAACAAAGCTTACCAGCAGCCCTCCTGCCACGCAGGACATTACAGAATCATGGAATCACAGAATGGGTCAGATCTGAAGGGACCACCGTGCATCATCTGGTCCGACCTTGGACCATCCTAGAGCACGTGGCACAGGACTGCGTCCAGACAGTTCCCGAGTAACTCCGGCGTGGGAGACAAAACACCCAAGTGCAACAATAAAAAGACATTTTACAAGGGAGACGTGTTATTAAAAAACAGCCTTTCCCCTTTCTCCTCGCTGTGATTTACAGGCCCCTCACACCCTGGTTCACCACCGGGCTCCTCACAAGCAGCCATGAGGAGAAGCCCGTGCCCCGCGCACGTCTGACTGCCCTCGCCGCAACGCCCACACCGCGCTGGGGGCCGCAGCAGCGGGCACAGCCCCGCCGCCCCTCACGGCCCCGGCTCCAGGGCTCGGCGGGAGCAGCGACACCAAGCACCATCGCTCCCGGCCCGGCGGTGAGGACAGTGCTCCCGCTCACAGCCCGGCGATGAGGACAGTGCTTTCCGTTCCCTCTCACAGCCCGGCGGTGAGGACGATGTTCCGCGCTCCCCCTCAGAGCCCAGCGCTGCTCCCGCCCCCCCCCCCCTCACCTCCCGGGCCACGCTCGGCCCCGCGCGCCGCCTGCCCATGGTCCGGCCCGGCTCGGCCTGGCCGCGCATGCGCACGCCTTGGTGAGGGGCCGCGCTGGGGAGAGGGGAGGAGGGCGAGCGCCATCTTGGTGAGGGCGCTGGGCTGAGCCCTGCGAGCCTTCTTGGCGTGGTACAGACTCAGCCGGGAGCGAGTGGAAGCCAGAGCGGCGCCTCCTGCGTTGTGCCAGTGCTGCCCGCAGCCTGCTCTGCCCGCTTCAGTGATGGTGGATAAGGGATGGTTGGGGGAGAACCAGTAGGCTGGAAAGCTGAGGTGGGACCTATTGGTCCTGCGTCGTCCTGCCTTTCCAACCCTCAGAACACCCTGCTCCCTCGGGCGGGGGATCTGCAGGGTGCTGTCTGTCCTGTCTGTCCCGGAGGGCCGATCTGAACTGACCAGTTGGTTTTCCCCCAAAGGGAGTCAGTGTAATCCTGCTCTGTCCGGCACTAGGCAGGACACTCCAGCCCAGCTCTTCTATTGCTGGGGGTGAGGGCTCACCTAGAAAGAAGGCAATCTTGGAAACACAAGGCAAAGCCAGCGCAGCTGCTTTGCTGCGAGTTAGGATCACTTAGAATTTTTTTTCTGGACATGAGGAGGAATTTTTTCATGGAAGGGATTGCTGAACATCAGAACGGGCTGCCCAGGGAGGTGGTGGAGTCACCATTCCTGGAGGTATTTAAGGAAGGACTGAATGTAGCATTTAGTGCCATGCTGTAGTTGACATAGTGGTGATCAGTCACAGATTGGACTCAATGATCTCAGAGGTCTTTTCCAACCTAAATAATTCTATGTTTCTGACATTAAGGCTGTCCTTGGGACTTTCTACTCAAACATCAGCTTTATGCTAAAGCAGCTGAGGAAAAGCAGGTTATGTGATCTACCAGCAGACAGCACTTTGTGCATGCTAGCCAGTTCATTGCAAAATGCTAATCATGATGTTATATATGCATGGAAGCTCTTGTTCTGTCCCAAGAAAGCTTTTTATGAAACACTGCTATCTGGTATTTAAAAAAAATCCCAAGCAACCAAA